AGACGTTCGGATAATCGACGTTCTACTGTACCTAGACTAATTCATACTAAATGACAATACATACCTCCTCTGCAAGCACTTCAAAAGTACAGCCACCAATTCTGGATGCAGTTCCTATAAAACACTTACTAACCACTTCATCACTCAAGCCAACAGCTTCAAATATTTGGGCACCCTGTAAAAAAGAAATGTATATAAATAAATAAGTACACGTGAATGCTATAGTAGTGTCCTCTGGTAGTTGTTTAGCTTCAATTTGAGACTGTCCTGTACTTGCCTTGTAACTCTGTAAAGTTGATATGCCCATCTTTGCCATCACTTTAGAAATACCTCTCTCAGTAGCAGCTATGTAATTATCACTTATTATATCATCAGTTAGAGAAGAATCCAGCAGTCCATGTTGTCGTAGTGAAGAAATTGTCTCAAAAACCAAATATGGACAGATTCCATCAGCTCCATAACCTAGCAGCACGCAGTGATGTTGAACTTCACGTGTTTCTCCACTTTCAATGATGACACCGACTTTCATTCTTAGCCTTTCTTTAATTAGATAATGATGGACAGCCCCTACAGTCAATAATGAACTGACAAAAAAAATTTGTTAGACAAACAAAAAATCTTTGACTCACACCTTTCAAAATTATAACTTTCATTATGAAACTTTCCCCCCATACCCCTCCCAGTACTGGTATAAGTATGGGATTACACATAAAGGCATTACACCATGTATATATTTTGAAGCTGAAATATAGTTTACCTGACAGGAATTCTATCTTTGCCAGCAAGTCTATCAGACAGTACTATTATAGTATAATCCTTCCTTGCTGCAGATGCTGCCTCTTCACAAATTCTATCTAAAGCCGGTACCAATCCACCCTTACCATCACACACTGGATATGTAATGTCAATAACATGCGTCTAAAATATACATACAATAATTATTAGAATATGTATGTTTTGTTTTTGGTCTGAAATATATCTATAAGTATAATTCTACAAAATACACTAAATTATGACAAAGTAAAAGCACTTAAAACCATGTGTTTGAAGCAATAATTTTTAACCTATTCTTTATTTGTATAATATGAAAGGAAAAAGTGATAGAGAAAGTGCTAGATTCATGCATATAAATACCTTCCATCCATTGTAAGTGGTAGCTTTAATAACCTCCAAATCTTTCAACGTCAATATTGGTTGTTGTAGAAACAACCTTTGACACTGCTTTGCACTTGGTTCCAAGATATTGTCTTCAGGACCAATAGGACAAGCCTACATACAGCATCAAATAATCAAGATTAAACTAACAGGACAAGTCAGTTGGTTTTCTTTCTAAGATCAGATTACATTTCATACTGTTATTGTTAAACACTGCAATTTTGAATTATTTAATTTAAAACACAAACTTGAGAATGACTCACCAAAGACATCACAATCTTTTCTCTGAATGGATCAATTGGAGGATTGGTGACTTGTGCAAATAGTTGTTTGAAATATTCATACACCAGAGGATTTCTTGTAGATAGACATGCTAACGGAGTGTCATTTCCCATAGATCCCAGTGCTTCTTTTCTGCAAATTAATTATTATATGTTTAAATATGGTGGTCGCTGCAATGTGCCATACAATATCAGGGATTGCACTTCACAGATATATCAAAGGCAACTGCCCTGATGCCCAAAAGGTTTGAAAATTTATTTCTCCCATACTATATATGCAAAAGCCATTTTATCAAATTTTCCTTGAAGATGGGTTTCCTCTCAATACTGATGTTCAAGCCCATGGGTCCCATGCAATATAAATTACATCATTAGCTTACACCATAGGCTATATGACAACCACCATTATGGTCCAATGAAGTCCACAAAAATACAATCAAAGAAAGCTTAGAAAGAACTCCCATGTGCTGAGAGTATTGGAGACACATTAAATATAATTCGAAATTACTTAGCTGAAAACTAATTTTGCAAATCAGAAAATTAATATGACCAGATTTGAGTGTAAAACTAATGAGGTCTGCGCAATGTAACAGAAAATCTATGTCTCCAAGTTTAATTGAAATGTGATTAGAACCAAAAAATTATGAATTATTATGCTTATTAGGGAATTAATATGAACAGATTTTTACCCCAAACTAATTAGGTTTGTACATTGTCCTAGAGCATCTTTGTACTAAGTTTCATTGAAATGGAATAATTAGTACTTTAGATATCAGTGTGAAAGCTTAAAATTGGTTAATTATGCAAATTAGGTAATTAATATGTACAGATTTTAACCCACAATTATTCAGGTCTGTCTATTGTCCTACAGCATCCATGTACATTCATTGATATGTGATGATTAGTACCTGAGATATCAGTGTGAAAGTTGG